CCTCTTCTTGACCTTGTGTCAAGTAGACTGCGTCTCCATTTTCTTGAGATTGAGATAAATTTGATTTGATTTTTAGTGTGTCCATCTGGTGAAATCCATGTCGCTGACTTGTGGATATCTTTGTGCCTGAACACACTGCCTCCAATCACCAAATCGTTGAAGTTGTAGAATTCTGCAAACAATTCTCCATTCTCGTTCAATACCTCACCGAGCGCTTCTCGACCCATGGTTAGTTCTCTTCCCGTGTTGTCCCCTCCCAGTTTGGCATTCATGTCGCCCCACCCATTAGAATTTTGATATCGCCAACTGACGTCTTGTCCAGTGTTGATTGAAGTTGTCTGTAGAATTCCTCCTTTTTCTCTTGCTCTGCATTATTTGTAGGTGCATAGCATTGTATGATTGTGACCTTCCTTCCTTTTGAGTTGAACCTTGTTGTCATGATCCTGATCCTGCCGGAGAAGATTGGTTCCCACAGCATGAGGGCCTTTGATGCTCTTGAGGACATCATGATAGCCACTCCCTCAGTGTGCTCGTGGTTGGCGTCTGGGTGACCGGAGTAGATTATTGATTCTCCAGTTGACAGTTTGGAGAGTCCACTCCCATTCCATCTGCTTTCGCAGATCCCAAGCACTTCGATGTGATACCTTCTCATCTCGTTTGCAACCTGGGCTGCCTTGGTGGGTTCAAACATCGTACGGATATTCCATGTCTCCACGTTTACTTTCGCTTTCATCGAGAGAAGACACATCGGCCAATTGGCTTCCCGAAGACAGGCTTTCACCAACTGGCATCATTTCGCCTCTCCGATTCCAGCGAGGAATAGTTTTGTTTTCATTTTTTATATTTTGTTTGTGCTTTGAAGTTTCTTTAGCGGTTAGATTTGTTTTACGGGGTAGGGTTGCTAGCCCTATGCCCAACCTTCCCTGTTTACCCGGGCTTAGGACCGGCTAGTAACTAGTGAACTAGTTAACCAGGCGAGGTTGTTTATTTCACTTAACACAACTTATTTAGCGTACAAATAGATCAAAATCTTGCTACTTTGAATAATTTTACTCTTCTCCTGATCACTGTCAAACTTCAACTAAGTATCTACAACTTTCTGTAGCTCTGTGTATGCGTCTTCAAGCGGTTTGAATGAATCCTCACGTCAGCTCGCTGAATGAAAACTGTCTGATCTACTCAAAGTTTCCCTTAAATAACCAAATATCAGAAACATTTTGTCATTTTATCTTTGATAAATCATTGAGATGAGTTGGAACAAGCCTTCAATCACCTGTTCCATAAGCAATTTGAATCTGCACTAAAGTTTCACAATAAAGTGATTACAGTGTTTACATTGTACCACAGAGTGAACCTGTAGCTTACATATCTTGTATAAAATTTTACGTAACGCATAAAAACCTGCCTAGATTGTGATTCCGAAAGAAGATATTTTCCCCAATTAAATCTCGAAATCCCTAGTGTTACCAACGCAAATAAAATTATGCACCATTCATTGTTTGAAATACTTTCGCGAGGAAGACTAGACAGTGGAAAATGATTATTTCTGAATAAAATATAAAAATTAGAAAAAAATTGCGAAGAGCCTTTTTCAACCAATTGGCATCCTTTTCTGACCCAGTAGTGTTTGAAGTGGCTTTTTTTAATTACAATGAGAAATGACTAAAGTGATAAGTGGATTTACAATTTTTTCCATCTCGTGGTATAAGTGGGTAGATAAATGTAGGTGAATTGAGAATATTGGAACTGATTCATTGAAGGAAGTACGTGGGGGTGTTTTTTTTACGATATTCTGCACCAGTGGTATATTTTCATCCTTCATCCTCAGATCTCGCATTGTTTCTGTTTCCTTCTTCTACACCATTATAATCTAGTTTACGCTCTACAGGCCTTGATTTTTTCTAACTTTTACTCCTACTTCAACTGCATATGAACTCTAAGACATCATTTAGTCATTTCATGAGGAATTTAAAAGTCTTTTTTTAAATGATACATGTTATGTACATGACTAGTTACTTAAGAAAGTTAACTGTTTGAAATACGCTTGACAACTGCTCGAGAAAAGATACTTTGAACTGTCTTTATAACTGTAAATAAGCTTTATATTGTAATCCCAATGCAAAACGGGATTTTTGTCAGACACAATGAAACAGATTCTATTTTAGGTTTGTTTATTTGATTTATAACACACAGTGATCTAGTATTATATCACATTAATATGATCATAAACAGTAATTTATGCTCAAAACGTCGTCAAGTGAATAATGCTAGATCACTGTGTGTTACAAATCCAATAAACAAATCTAGTATGGAATTAATTTCTTCCACAGTGATCAAGTTTTACACCTATATCAGTGAAACAAAGTTTATTTACACTTCTTGTTGACTCACCTAGAGTCTCTTTCAGTCAATAATAGTAGGATTTTGTTTGCAAGGGAAACTATTTGAAACATCGCTCTATTACATGCAGTTAGTCTACTAGTTAAAAAAAAAACTTATCAAATCACCTAACTTCCTATTCATAGGCTTTAAAACAAGGTTATTCGGCAATGAGCGTCTGTTTTTAGTTGGAACTATGATACTGTATCAACTAAAGTTAACTTTTCATCTTGAACTAGCGAGCTAATATAAACTCCATTGTGTGATGGAAGTCAGTTTATACCACAATAATCGCAATACAAAGAGAAAATACAATCTGCTGTTTATGAAACCTTGAGTGAGCAAGCTGAAATTCATTATTGGTTGAAAAAATCTCTGACCAACCCATTGAGCCAACCTTGAGAATCAGTATTTTTAGTTTCTAAAATTCAGAGATGCTGTTTGATGACCATTTGCTGATAGCATATAACGTCAAAATACTGTTGTAATTTTGCTAAATTCATTTTTAAATTTACAAGATAAACTTTTGATGCAAAAGAATGTAATTTACGTTCTGGATTTTATACACAGCTTGTCGCCATTCTTGTTTTTTTGCCAACATAAACTGAGATGTACCAACAAGTGTTCCGCATAAAGAATTATAAGTGCAAATTCAGGTTGATTAGTTCTTACTAATAGACATCTATACGGAGAAAGAAACACTAAGCACCCAATAAAGTAAACGTTATTTCACCGACTTTTTGTAGTTTGGAAATGTGTTAATATGTCATCAAAAACAGCGTTGGGAGGTGAATAAGCACACGATATCAGCAAAATTTTGTTGAAAATTCTGCATTATTAATTGGTACACAGTAACTTTACACAGCTGTGTACTCATTTCAATCCTGACAATGTTTAGACAGAAAACTAATATATATATATATATATATATATATATATATATATATAAAAGTATTACTTTGCAGTCATTCTAGGAGTTTTATTCCTAATTATTGCATGCTTTCATTGAAGATGACAAACATGAAAATTTGAATATTTTGAGATTAGCTTGCACACTATAAGGAAAACATTTGAAAGAGTATTTTTTGTTGATGTATGTTCCGTATGTTGGTCGAACATAAAAAAAGTCCAAAAAGTTTCGGGTTTATTATGTTTCTTTGGTAAGCAGATATCATTTAACTTTGTTTAGTGTAAATCATTTTCATAGTGTAAATGAAACGTATGCGTAGCTTAGTCCACTTTTTGTAACCAACACTCAACGTTATTACTTTCTTAATGATCTATACTTAATTGAAATACCTTTAAATGATTTAAACGGAACTGAACATCCTATGGGTCAATATCACGAAATGCATAGTAACATATAACAAAACTAAATGGAAAATTAATCTCTTGAACCGCTGAAGAATCAGATGAAAGATGAGGTAATAGCGTGCGGTTAGTGCCTTACAAATACCAGTGCTTAGCATATAACGACTGTGTTTACCGGGAGTGGAAACGTTTCGGTCACTATTGGGACCATTCTAGTATTGGCCAAAATAATGAATTTTAAATACTGTAGTGATTTAGGCTAACTAATTTAATACAGAATATTAAACCAACATGTGTACCGTCACTCAAAGATAATGCGATTAAAATGTATATCATGATATTTGTTGAAGTCCTATGTAAAAAAGGATAAACGCCCAACATGCTTCATTCATAATATTAGACAACTCAGAGTAGTATATATTTATTAAAGATGTGGTGGTCCAAAGAGAACATTACTTACCAGTTAGTTGTCCAAATTAGCGTAGTTTAACTTTGCGCCCATAACTGGATGTTTAAATGTGAAATGTTGAAGCCCACCAGCCTCATATATGCCAACTACACCAACATAGAAGCAATCGCATTTACAATTAAAAATTGCTGACCTGCTTAAGAGCCGTGCACAAAGTTATCCTAAAACAAGTTTGCTGCATTATCGGTAAGACGTATATCTTCACTCTTCACTCATTATCGCAAATAACAAGAGTTTGAAAAATCCACTTTCGTTTTTACAGTTCTTTGACATTTTCAGCACTTCTATGGCTGAACCACTGGCTTTTAGGTGTCTAATCACCAAGGCTGATACATGTCTTGTTTGAATGTTTATAGGCATGTAAAGAAGTAAATATTAATTTTTCGATATATTGCTGTGGTCTTAAACCTTATTTTATTTTCAACTAGTCAGGATAATCACTTACAAAACAATCCATTTACTATTTAAACGGTCAACTACCTATACAACTCTATCAGGTGAAGTTTTTATCCTGAAGTCTATAAAATCCAGGACAGCTTCCGGCTTCTGAGCTTCAAGTTAGACTTACATGCGTTCTGATATCTGGTTTTCCCAGTGAAATTCGCATTCATCTTTAATCATTCTAAATACAAGTTTGCAATAGCCAACTCTTATGCAAGTAATGCCGACCACATCTGGTATCAGATAAATCTATTTGGTAGAGGTTGTCGAACTCTTTGATTTGCAAGATTTCTTTTTGATGCAGTAAGACAAAAAAGTACACATCTAACCAACACATTTTGACGAATTTAAATGATGATTAATTAATCTTTTTTAAAATTCTTTGCCTTATTTTAATCAGGTTGTTGAAAGTTATGGTTCTTCTACGATCCACCAAATTCTTGGATCGATTGTAGCCGCAGACAAGGATCTAGGTCGAAATGGATCGATTACATACCGACTTGGATCAGAACAAAATAATCCGTATACTACTGCTAATAGTAATAATTTGATCGACAACAAGATATATAGTTCTACGCAAACATTTGGCTCTCGCCTAATACAGGTAATAGATCTTTTTAATATTGATATATTAAGCTGCTCTATCCTATTTAATTCTTTATATAAATGCTATCTGTGACCTCAAGTAATCTCAAAATATCATAGTACGAAGGACATTCAAGATTTGATAATGTCCGTCTGAAACATGAATTAGCATCAAAAAATGTCATGTTCCTGTTTATCGATGCTTCTCTTACTGAAACTGTTGATTGCAAGTGGAAGCTAATTATTGACTACAGACGGGGTATTGGAAGAGTGGCTGTTAGTTCAATGTCCAACAAGTACTTTTTTTCAGCAGTCTTTGGCAAAGATGAATTCATGAAGCAATGTTGGATTCGCTATATGCTGGTGTTTTTGACATTATTCAGAATATTAGAAAATTGACTATCTATTTAAAACGTTTATATGTGCATCTTAGCTTTTGACTTACACTAAATGATAAAGAATATGACAAATGTCTAAATATAGATATTAGGTTCAAGGACTTATAGTGTATATTCCTATGTTTTTCAATTCTGAATGAAGATTCCTTACTAAATGCCATTGTGAACTCATGATTTTCTGTGTCTTTTCTCATTGACGTCATAGTATTCTCAAACTATGGTTACTTGTTCCTTATTTTTTTGGAGTCAAGTCAACCTATACTAACTTACAGGCTACCTGTATCGATACCTCGGTATGCTATTGAATCCCAAGTCATCATGATTGGGAAATTAGCAATAATTCATTTTGTCTACTTGCTAACTTTCTGACTTTTGAAGCTGTGGACGCTAGACTGTAGCTTCAGAAAATCAAAAATACTTAGTAGTAGCTACAGTGGGCTAAGGAGACTCAAATTATGAGTAAACTTGGAGTTTTGATCCTAGTGATATTCGTGTGTCACTTATCTTCAATTTTTTCTGTTTTTTGCCTTGTTTCTAAAACTCTTTGGTCTACTGAAATTTCTGCATATTTAAACTGATACGCAGTTATCAGGATTACTGTTCTGCTCCAAACTGCAACCTGTTTTCTTCAATTATCTTTATGGCACTTGTTACACGAAGCATCACAACAGGTACTGAGCTAAATTGAAAGACTGAATGGGAAAACTTAGGAGCTTATGGCTCCTTATTAACATCACTTCTTATCTGGAGGAGAAACAAAGCCACACATTTCAGTTTCATTAGGTAGTGGAACAACAAAATATTTTGAAACCGAATAAGATTGATCAGATGCTTAATGTTTTAAATAATTTTCATTCCGGCCAACAACTCACAGGTGACTATTTATTTTTTACGAAGCCTTCATTTTTAAGTGTCACCCAGAGTTGTATACATGCAACAAACGCAGATAGTGACTGCATCAAACCAACCAATATTCAAACATATTTTGAAGTAAAAGCAGTTACGCTTCAACCTATTCGAACAAATAATTTGATGCAAAGAACGTTTCACGTAATTATCTATTTTCTACTGAGTTTAGTCTTCATCAAATAAACGTGTTACCCTGGCTCTGTTATATCCATTAGGACTAAATTGGCACATATTCTTACCTATTTAAAGGTTTTTCGGAAGGGACAATTGTCAGTTATTTACAAATATAATAACTTCATCACATGGTTTAACTATCTGATTTAATGGTGGTATATAGTTTTTACTTGGTAATATATGTTGCTACCTCGGTTTACATTATCTTACACTTATCTTCTCATATCTTCCCGTCTCGGATTAAACTACATCTTCGTTGTAAACGAATATTATAAATGGTCATTATTTCAAACGATTTAGCATATACTCAGTTTGGTTATTTAAAATTTACCGTTTTCGAACTTTAACAGCGTTCACTGTAGTCTTATTCAAAATACAAAGCCTGTAATGTAATTAGTTGTTAGTTAATCTGATTTATCAGATAGACGGCTGACGTTTCATAAAAAAATTTACGTGGTGAACGAAGTTAGTATAAGGATATTTTAACAGTGAAACCAACAAGAGGCTTCCATCATTCGTTAACGAGTTTTATTTAGACCCCTAGTATTTGAACTCTGAATTTCAACATTTATTAATGCTTCAAACTAGTTTTTATTTTTGCATTGTAACACGTTTTACAACTGTTCTCCAGCATTACAACGACACAGAAGGATACAATTTATGTTTACCAGTTCAACTTCATATGCAGGATACAAAAAAAGAACCTTAAAAAGTATAAGAACAAGGTTTGTGGTTTTTAGTTTTTACTTTGATAAACTCCTTAAACCTTTCAAAAGTGTAGCCTAAATTTTATTTTCAGGTTAGTCACGATGGGAAACTTACTGTCTACGGGGTAATTGATCGAGAGAAAACTCCTGTAATTGTACTGACAATTGTTGCTGAGGACAATGGAATTCCCATGAAGTTGTCTAATTCAGTTACGGTTACAATTCATGTACTAGATTTGAATGATAATAAACCACGTTTCATTGAATCATCATCCATACATTCACAATCAACAAACAAAGATGGGCTTGGTAAAGAAACTCCTGACAATTCAAAGACAAATTTTATGTCTCCTGTGACCGGTTTTAAGTTGAACTTAAGTTTGGACACAAATGTTGGAACACTTCTGACTGTGGTAAGTTAGCGTAAAATAAAAATTTAGGTGCAGTTTAATCATAAAAATTTAACTTTTAAGTACAGTATTTATAACACAGAAACTTATTATATAAATCATAATGGATGCAACTACGATAGTTTCGCAAACAAATATAAAACTCCCATTTCCAGCCGTAGGAAAACGTTTTTCAACCTAGAAGTGTCGTCGTCCTGAGGTCATTTTAACATGATGTTGGCTAAACTAATAAATGGTATTAGGATATTTTGCATAGTGTTACTACTTTACCATGGGCAAGTTGATGACCAGCTTTAACTAAACATGTCTAAATACTTGAGGTTGACAGCTATGCTTAAAACCACCTATTTAATAGCCATAAATGACTGAACTGTGTTAATAGCTATCGTGAGCCATGTGGAACCAAGCAGCTGTTGTTGCCATATATGAGATGGTTTATTATGGTGTTAGTTGAAGCAAACCAATTTTTGTGAGAAGTTTAACTTCTTAACATACCGAAAAAAGTTCTTTTAACGACACCAAATTCATTTAGCTATACGTCAAACAGATGTTTTTACTACAGGTTTTGAAAACATCAAGTTAAAATAAACTTTAAAAACCATATATTCAGTATTCTAGTTTATCTTTCCGCAGCCAGCGAATTTCTTGTGCAAGCGCAAAAAGATACGAAGTCTTATCATAGCATTTTGAGCTTTCCTCTTAAAAGGAGGATCCACATTGATAACTAAATGAATATGGACTACACCCACGGTTTCAAAAAGGCTTCTTCAAAACGCATATAACACTTCACTGGAATTATAACAATAATTGTTACATCTGTTACTTACCTTAAACAGCTTATTTTAGCGTACCAGTAAGTTAAATGCGTTTTAAAGGTTCTTATACACTATAAGTTCTTGACTGATTGAATAAACTGGAATCAGAAGAGTTGTATATTCATTCCAATGACAGTGCAAAACAGGAGACTGAGTTACAGTGATCAAGCTTCATTTGAAAAGTTAATTCACAGATAAAACGTAAGCACAATGAGTCATGCATCATTTTGATAATATCACTTGACAAGTTTCGCTATCTCATTCAAAATCAAATAACATTTACTGATCGACAGTCTGGTAACGAAACAGATTTGTTTATTCATTTTACTGAGAGAATATTCGTTTGCATCCCTTATCAGTAGATTTTGTAGTTTTTGTGAAGGAATACTGTGATAAATAACGAAATTCATAAGTACATACCCATGATGAATAACAATATCTAATACTCATTTGATAGAAAATAAAACAAACAATCTAACATTTGAATATGATGAAGGTAGGTAGATAGACATTTTTCTTAACGAAAAGGTACCAAACGAAAGATAATATCGAGTAATTTCTTGCTAGAGTAGTGAAAGTGAATATCACTTTTGCATACTCAGTAAATGGCAGAAAACTAACTTGATACGTGAGCTTAGTTCATGGTAAAGTTGTTTATTTTTTTCTATCAAAAAACTCATTGTGATTGTAAGGTTCTGCTTTCCAACAAAAGGTGAATGGACTGTAAGTTTTGTATTTACTAATATTTATTATTTATTGCTGCACGATATTTGAGTACTCGGACAACTAACTGACTGCGTATTTAACCTGAACAAAAAGGGAAACATGCAATCTGTCTGCTGTTGAAACTATGGCGTCAAAATCTTTATAAATTATTCATGCCTTTCTTTTTGAAGTTAGACTGAATTTTTAGAGAAATTTTATAAAACCATCGCGTGCCATCTCTATCTAATAAGATATTGATAAAATCCGGAACTTAACTAATTCTGATTTTAGTTTCACTATGAACTGAAACAAGTAGTATGAAACAACATTAAAAATGTGAAATAAATCCAGAGGGAATAAATAAATAAATTAGTTAAAATTTCTTAATAGTGTTAGAATGGTCATGAATATCTAAATTATATATATATATATATCCACGAGAAATCATGCCCTTTATGAGTTATCTACTGATGAACGCAAACAGTTCGAGGAGTATGTCATTACAGTCGTAGAAAAACAGTCTCAGTCGGCCAATCTTAAACACTCCGATGGTCTGAAGCCAGTTGAAATGGAAAGTAAATTTCCGAATAATCCAGAAAAGTATGTATTTAACCACTCTCACGTTAATCTTTCGACAATTCAAATGCAAGCCCTATCGCTGGGCTCAAAGTTTTGCAGCAGTGCATCCAAGGTTAACAGATTACATACCCAAGTACAATTTGAAAATTTAATCAGCCAGATTGTCGGTCTTACGCCTGCATCGCCGCAAGAATTCCAGCATTTCAAGTCCACTGTTCTAGATTGCTGTCACCAATTTATCAACTCCAAAATCAGTTCTAGCTCTTTATTAACCAAGGACCATATACAACAGCTAAAACTAATCAAAGATAACAGGGATATTATCATAAGCCGTCCTGATAAGGGAGGAGGCATTGTCCTAATGAATCGTCAGGAGTATACTGATAAACTTTCCGTAATCCTCTCTGATCCCACTAAGTTTAGTAAACCCGAAGGTGAGCCCAATAAGACACATATAATTGAAACACAACTCACAAATGTCTTAAAAAACATGAGGGATAAATCAATAATTGATCCTGATTTATATGAACGTATCCGACCGGTTGGCTCTATAATCCCACGTCTATATGGACTACCGAAGATACATAAAACGGGATTACCTCTTCGTCCGATCCTCGATATGGCTGGTTCTCCCTATCACCGAACTGCTCAATGGTTAGCTGAAATTCTGGAACCTGTTAGAAGGCAAGTATCGAGTTTTTCTATCCGTGATACATTTCAGTTTGTTGAGGGTATTAAGGATTTTAATGCTCTAAACAAGATGATGTTTTCATTAGACGTCACTTCATTGTTCACGAGTGTGCCACTCACCGAAACTGTCTGTTATGTATGTGACTATATTGATGCACATAATTTAGACGTAGGACTACCAACGAGCTGCTTGAAAGAGCTTTTGTTGAGGTGCACATTTAATGTCCAATTCAGTTTCAATAATGAAATCTATAGACAGAAAGATGGAATTGCGATGGGGTCACCATTGGGACCACTGCTAGCAGATTTCTTCATGTCGAAACTGGAAAATTCAAAACTTCGTCAAACTATTGATAGCTTTGACTTTTATAGAAGATATATGGACGACACGTTTGTTATTTGCGACAAAAATGTAGACCTCGACGACGTGCTTCGTTCATTCAATGAATGTCATCAAGCCCTCAAGTTTACTATAGAGAAGGAATCAGAATCAACTATTCCTTTTCTTGATGTGCTTCTCACCCGACGTCAGAATGGATACCTTAAAAGATCCATCTACAGAAAACCAACGTGGAACGGACAACTAACTAATTTTTATAGTTGGGTGCCCATCAACAGAAAAAGAAATCTTATTCACTCTCTTTGCTATCGAATAAGAAGTATCTGTAGTGACGATTGTATCGAGGAAGAGCTATCTTTCTTAAAAAGCATACTTGTCGAAAACGGTTACCCTAGCCGTTTTATTGATAAAAATATGCGGGAAAGAAACACTAAACCAGTCATCCACTCGGTCTCAAAGAAAAGATTGTTTATGAGCCTAGAGTTTAAAGGAGACCTAGCATCGGATGTACTGAAGAATCGTCTTACCAGATCAATCAATAGGACTTTCTTCGCAGCAAGACTCCAGTTGACTTTTACCAGCCACAACCTATTCTCCACCTGCGTCAAAGACAAGCTTCCTCGTTTGGCCGCCTCTATGTGCATCTACCAGTTCACCTGCTCCTGTGGAGCAAGGTACATCGGCCGTAGCCAGAGAATGCTTTCTACACGTATACGAGAACATGTTCCTGCTTGGTTTTATAAAGGTGAAAGAAAGTCTGTTAGAAGTTCGATTCTAGAACATTTGATTGACTTCCATCACACAACAAATCCAGACGATGACTTTGAAATTATTTATCGAATTCGCCCAAACCTCCCACGTTCTCTTCGTTTTCAACTCCTTAAAACAGCGGAGGCTTTAGCTATTCATGAACTAAGACCTGATCTGTGTGTACAAAAGAAGTATGTGCAGTCACTGTCTTTATCATGGCCATAACATTTTCCCACCCCATTAGCTCCCCCTCCCACTTTGTTAATTTAACCTTTGTATCCTTCCTTTATCACTATTATTGTTATTATAATCGCCTTCACTTCAACTAGTTTCCGGTGTTATTTCACTTAATTGTCTTAATCCTTTTAGAAAACATTGACTTCATCTTGTCCAATTTGTCTAATGCCATTACATAATACTTAATTGATTTACCATTTTCAATAATTTTTTCACCCCCTTCTGAGTTATATACTCTCTATGTACCATTCCATATATTACATAATCTATTTGTTATCATTCGCACTTCAATTGTTATTATAATCATAAATGCCTATGTCATCACCCGCTCTATTATTACTGTCATCACCATATAGTGTTTAGTTTTCCTCACAGGATATAATTTTTTCCAAATACCATATATATACGATTGTACAGCTTGAAAATAAATTCGTTGAAAAGAGTCTCTTCGCTGAATATCTTGTTCTTAATGTTACAATGGGAATTATTAAATTATTAAAAATATCTAAATTGTCATTGTAAGGCACATCTATAAATAATGCTAATTTTTCTGAAGAACAGAAAACCGTTGTTGAGTGACCCCTGATTTAATTACGAATAACAATAATATTAAACTAATATCGGTTGGCATTAGAGAGGTAAATGAATCTGTTCAACACATTCCATCCCCACTTTCTTTTTCTGCATAATTGTTGGGCGATAGAATTTTGTTTGGTTCGTCACCAGGCCGGAGCTTTTTGTTTCTCATTCTTTCTGATCATCTGCTCTTAATTATCGAGCGTAGGCGGCAGCTGTTGATGTATGTCTACAGTTTGTTGGTAATGCTTTTCGTAACGCGCCAAGTTTCTGAACCACATAAAAGCACTGATCCGACTCAATTAGTGTTGAAAATTCAGATCTTGTTTTCTATGCAGAGTGTAGTACAGTAAAGTAGGTCTTCACAGTGATTTCAGATTATTAAAGGAATGTTTGTCTTGCTTTTTTAGTCCTGGCTTTGAAATCCGCACCTGTGCCGCCAACTATAGTTCAGACGATGCTACTTAGGTAGGCCAAATAGACAACATTCTTTAGATTTCTCCCACTCATAGTGATTGGTGCTTGTTGTTGTTGGTTGGCTATCTTCATCACCTCTTTTTTTCCACGTTTACTCGAAGTCCCGTCTTCGCTGCCCCTTCCGTCAACTTGTTGGTTTTTGCCTGTGGATCTTCAAGTTTGTGCAACATAAGACAAACATAAATCATTGTCGGCGAAATTCAAATCTTCTAGGGTTTTTTCACCGGTCAAACAGCGTATTCCTTTCTTCTCGCTCCTCAAAGTTGTTTGTTGTATGACCCGATCCAATACAACCAGGAAGATGATCGACTATAGTAGGTAGCAGCCTTGTCTTATTGCTGTTTTCACTTCAGAGGTGTCACTGAGCTTCCCATTGTGAATCACTTGGCACGTAGCGTCTTCATATAGCTGTTGAAAGGGGTTGATAAAGGTTTGTGGTGCTAAAAGAGTGGTGTTTAAGCAGTTTCCAAATTACATCTAGGTCAACGCTGTCGAAGGCATTTTCAAAGTCGATAAAGTTGAGGTTGAGGTGACTGCCATTCTACGCTCTGTTCTATGATGGTGCGTAGCGTTGCGGTTTAATCCGCACATGATTTGTTCTTCTTGAAGCCAGCCAGCCTCATCCGGTCGTAATTTTGAATGCAGAGGATTTTTCGGTCTCTTCGGGATGATACGGCCTAATATCTCCCTTGGGGTGAACAGGAGTATGATTCTGGGTGTAACTCGTAATACCTCATCGTTTGTTAAATCCAACTGGCTGATTTCCGTTAGGATGTAGGTTTGTTTGCGAACGAATTAATATTGTTGGTAATTCATGTCTGAAACTGATGATAGATAAAAGCTTGAATTAAATCTCAAGACTAAGGTATCAAAATATACCCTCCACACGATGATGGCCCACCGTAAACCCGCACTCTAGTGGATATCTCTCCAGAATTTGATTTGCTAGGTGTTTGGGTCTAGTCTCAGTGGGAAGTAGGTATACTGAATCGAAAAGCTCCAAATATAAAAAAATACTCTTCCTTAACTCTACTACTAGCGGTTGTCTAATAATCATTTCAAATTTAGATCACCAGTAGCATCGAAGCTCCGCGGCGGGGTTCATATGCAAATAAAGGCTGATAAATTAGGTCCTATGAGCGGTAGTTACATGTTTCTTCACTTATTCGCTAGTGGCTTTGTGTAATTCTGTCGACATTTTCTTACATACTTCTAACGTCATCTCTGATGCATTTTGAAGTGTGTGATTGGCAGCATTTCGAATAAAATACTTATTTCATGGAGATGGTCTTCTGGCCTTTTGTTTGATTATATACTCCATTTGCAATACTCGTTGTTTACCTTTGTTTATCTTAAATCATATGAGCTGAGAGAAAATGCACATATCTCCCTGAATGTGTTGCTTTGCTGTAAACATTACTTGGTAAACCCACAGTAGAGCAATGATTTTTTTACACTAACGTGACTGCTTAGATAGACACAAAATTGTTTCATATCATATTATAACAAGAATTTTATCAAACTGTCTCAATCGTGATTTTGTTAAGGGCATTAAGAACAAATTCCTGTTCAAACTCCATTATTAAGTCCAGCATAACAAGTAACATTGTCGATCCCATACCTTTTTCCTCAGTTTGACGAGATGACACCTACTTTAATGAAAATGCTGTTGTTATCAAACTAAGTTCTGTTGCTTTCAGTATATCCCCTACCGATATATATATATATATATATTGATTAATAATATCAAAGATAGTCAATATTTCTTCCCTCTTTATTTTATTGTCTTTCATTTTTCTATCTAATTTAAATTAGTTAGCTATTCTCGACTATGAAGTTTCTTGCGTTGGTTTGGGTGTATTGACTAAAAAGCTTGATAACATGCAAGCTGGTAATGTTTATGAAATCTGCTGTAGGTACCATAAAATGTTTTTTTCTTATGTAGCTTTGCCATCCCAAATTTCATATGCACATTACACTTCTTCTGCATAATTTTAAAGCATCTAAATGTACTATTTGTTAATTTCACTTATCTAACCACTAATACCGTTTTGGTTGTCATTTTTTACATGACTGCGTCGGATGGCCTGCTTATTTTTATATAAATTTTAGGCAACAAATGGTCAATCACGTTTTTGCAATACTTTAAGTCATTAATGACAGCTGTATTATTCTCCTAAGAGATAACTGCACATTTAACTGGTCGGACCTACCAAGATTTAAAAACCTGAAGGTTGTTGTAAATATTCATGCTAAATTTAGTTATACTAAGCTGGTTTACGAGTCTAACCACCTTCAGAACTCTATCCGTACTTCATTTAAACTTACAGAAGCTCTGAAATGTTGATTCATTTGTACACTCGTTTATAATGATGCTACATTGGTGTCTCATATCTTCCATAGTAAAAGCGTCCTTAAAGACGTAATATCTATGATGTAGTCACTTTGTTTCATGTATTTGATGTGGGACGATACGAATAGTAACAATAATCTAACAAGAAAATACAAACAGTTCTACACGAAATGATTGGTAATTATATCTGATCATCTATTCAAACAAACAGAATTGGATAAAGAGATAAGGTTGGTTTTTGACCTCATTATCATACTGTTGGTGTTTTCATTTTGGTTATTACCCTGAAACGATGCTCGAAATAAACTTCCGCGGAAAACGTTCAGATGAGATTTATACGAAAATAACCTTTACTAGGTCATGAGCTCAATCCATTTTAACGACATCAGTCTTGATGGCTGAGCAGAATAATATTCCCTTTTACCGAAAACCTGGCTTTCTTTCTGTTGCCCTGTTTTGTTCAGAAGGGAACTACTAGTCATCTATTCTCTAAGAAAGTTAATTTTCAGCTTTCAGGAAAGCGTGTAAATTACTCAACAAATTGGGCATAACTAGAAAAGGTAGTGAAGAATTGATCTGAATGACATTGATTTTAAGTATCCATCGTGTTCAGGATATCCCTTTGGTTAGGGATCAGCAAAGCTGGCCCAGTGAAATTAACCCTATAATCGAGACCACGTGAATTTACCACTAGAAGTGAATAAGTCAGTCGCAAAACTTCCGTTTTACATAAAATAAAAGCTATTTGACTTAAATGATAGTAGATTTATGATGTTTGTTGTCATGACTTTACTTTGATCATTAATATTCTGTCCTCTTGCTATCAATTGCTTGAAGATTCCACAAGTAATACGCCATTAGAGGTCATGTTTAATCAAAGTAGTCATCAGGGTAATCGATCGTTCTCAAAGACAGAGTAGTGACATTAAAATTCCTTATATGAATGCGCTAAATTATTCACACGAAAAAACCAAAAATAACACTGTAACTATATATAAAATAAAACAAAATTCTTTCATTTTATGAAGCTCCTTTTTGCAACCAGTAACCATCAATCGCTGATTTTTAAGTGATTTTATATTTCCTATCGAAGGAAGTCCTGATAGAAGTTCGTGATTTTTCCCAACATTTCGTGTGACGTCATACGTAGCCGTTATGCACTCAGTTAACTTTGGTAATAGTAAAGGCCTACAAGTTTGTTTTACTAGCTTAGTTTCACTAAGATATACGACAAAATATCACAATAACAATATGTCAAAGCAAAGCTTGTCATCATTGACATGTAGCATTTTGAAAAGTTTAACCTGACGTTTTTAAAATTTCTCACCGACTTTCTCACATATCTAATCATTAATTTTATTCATTACATTTTTTCAGTTCGAGGCTTATGATCCAGACAATGGTCCTAATGGAACTGTTGTTTTTGATATGGCTTATTCGGGTACGCTTGGTTTTTCAAAAGAAATAAACAGTCGTAAAACTGGAGGGATCGATGAAGATGATTCTAATATTCCTACATTTACCCTGCAACCGGATGGACGTCTTCTTTTGTCGAAACGATTAATTTATTCAGATATGATATCTCCCGTATCTAACAATCTGCCAAAACGATATCGCAGACCCGACAGGTTACTAATACGTGTGTCGGACAAGGGACCAACTCCAGAACAATCAATTACCAGCTTACAGATATTTTATTTTGATCCTATTGATACTTTACAGAACGCATTCTCTGAAAACTACTTTCCTGTTGCAAATAGAAAAAATGATATCCGCAATGAACATGAAAATTCCATGCTTAATCCAGATAAAGAAAGTGGGAAAAGCAAATATTTTGCATATAAATCAAATCTCCAAGCTTTATTAAGTGAAAAAGAAGGCGGCAAATCATCATCAAAGTCATATGTACGGTCATCAGAATTACCACATTCCAAACCATTTACATTACCTGCTATGTATTTGCTAGCGTTAGCTGTTTGTTTAGCTCTGATACTTGTTATAATCAGCTTTGCATGTTTTTATGTGAAACTAAAAAGAACAAATGTACCAGACAATGGGAATGAAAAGTATGGTAAGATAATTATAAACTCAACTAAAAGTATTTGTTTCTTAAGTTTGAAAACTGATGTGATTCGGTGAACTTAGATAAGGATACAAGGTCCATCTAAAATTATGTTAACACCTAGGCATACCGACTTATTTTATACACCATTAGTCAGTGTAACCAGAAGATAATTAAGGCAGTTGGTTAAATAGCTAAATGAAGTACGTACCAAGAGATGTCAGATCATGTTAACTTGATTCATACTCAGTAAAACAGCTTGCTGCAAATATTAGGATAGTGTCCAGCAGCAAATAAGCCACTGCATCTAATCTCATAACCCGGCTAGCAGTTATATAAAATCTCCAAGAAAACCCACGAATGAAAGTATCTAAGTTGGTAAAATATCTGCTTGTATCGTGAATTTCTTTATTATCGTAAGTATAAATAGCTGAAAACCCTCTAATCTTCCGGAAAAACATGCTGCGGACATTATTATAGGACCAGTTCAATAGCAACTCACAAATTCTTTTCCAAGATATTAGTCACAAACACTTAGAGTGCAATATAATTTTTCCAAGTAAAACTATTTAGCGACTTACATAATTAATCGGCTGTTTTTCAAATGATCTGCTTCACTGTAGTTAATGGATAAATTTCTTTTGAATTATTTATGTATATACCTTGTCCAAGTTTCATTACAACTGAGGTTTCTTATTAGAAAACAATGGACATACATTCTCTCCTGGGATGTAGGCTCGGTGGATGCCTTGTATCAATAGGAGGAGTTTTGATAGCACTTCTCTCTCACGTACACCATGAAGTTAGCTCATTTATCGAATACTCTTCCTCTGCAGGTTTGTCTAGATTGGTAGGTGATACTGCATGAGAAGTGACTACAAAAGTTTGTTTATCCTACGAGCCAACCGTTACAGTAGTAATTAGTTTGTACGTTAATTTCTGTTTCAATATAAATCCATTTGAACGGCGAATGGGCACGCAAATTAGATATCCCGATCATTAGCTCAAACCATCAACTTATTAATAAGCTACCTTTGCTTCAAATTCCACCCTACTACTGTAACCGAATAATATCATTGATTCTCAGAAAAATAAGCATTACTCATAACTATAGCCAACTGCTGTAAAATCGTCATATCATTCGTGTTGTCATTAATGTGGTGACTGAATTTATTTGATGAACCATCAACTAGTGATTAAATTATCAGTATTACTATAAATAGTTTTTAAAATAGTAATTGGCTTGTTAGAAGTAAATCTAAGTGGATGCTACGAATAGACGTTTTGGTTTAGGTGTACTTACTGAGTACCTAGGAGTAACAACAACTACTACTTAATATTTCCATACTTTGCCGAGTAATTCGCTGCTTCATATTTTTTTCAGTTTGAAAAATGTAAACCTTACGTGTGATTTCTAGCAGCAGAATAGACATATTCTTTGTACCGCTTCAAATTCTCATGCTTCACGTCCTTTTTTCAGTGAACAAACTAGTCACTAGCGAGAAATCGATATCACATGTTGTAGTTTTTAGCTTTGATGATAAATTATAAGTTCTTAAGCCATTGCGAGTAGTCGTAAGCAGTTTTCCTTATTCAGCCTGTCAATGAATAAAGTTTTTAATGATTTATTGCATAGTTTGATATCTGAAATTCTTTTCAATGCAATTGAACGTATCCCTCCGCAGATAACTGTAGCTAATAATGATTTTATCAGTGTTTCACTTACGTGAAATGTCTGATGACAATAGGTGATATTACAACTTTTAAATCAACTCTGATAACGTTTTTACCGAGTAAGAATCTAGCAGGAAGAAAGTCTTTACAAGAATCGCAAACAATAAGCAGAATAAATAATCAATGTTTTAAGTTGAGTGAGACATATCAGTGTATAATATGTTCGGCGCAATCAAGTTAATTTCACAATGTACAGAAAATACTTTTGAAAATTATTTATTAGCAAATAGTTGAACACTTTTAAATATTCTGACCAAAGGTTATGATCAAAATGAGTTAAATACAACTGGAGCCAAACGGCATCTGCTGGCTCCAAACGTATAAGAAAACAACAACAGATTTATGAATTAAAACTACATAGGCAGGAATTGTTTCTCCCACAAAATATCTCCCGCTTGCTATTTCTTTGTTATTCTGCGAAGAGATACTGAATTCAATGTTGGTGAAACGTCAAAAAGTATCTAAAAGGCTAGAATTCTAATTACACATTTGAAAGAGCTTCCTGCTGTAGATAAGTTTGAATTTCCTGATCCATTTTCCGACATAAACTTATCAGTTTATACAAAGAGCATATGAATGAGCAATGTCAACTTTAGTCAGTCGAATAATAGGTGGTTATTACTATGTTGGAACAGAGGTATAGTGTATGAGCTATAAGAATTAGATAAAGAGCATCTTACCATCCGTTCGCTGCTAGTGCTTAAATACTTCTCAATTCCTAATTTTAACTTTTATGTGTAGAAGATATCTTAACTGTAGTTATTATCACTCATAAATTATTGCTCAAAAAGTTTTCTATTTCTGTGATCTGTTTCAGATAACATTGTGAAAACTGAAGTTCATGGAGAAAGCCTAATCAGCAGTAAGAAAGTAAGAAAATCAGTAAATATAAGAGCAAAAATTGAGTACTGTAGTAACTGAAGTTCTATTTTGGTTGCTTCATAAAAATCATCACACGTTTTGAACACAATTACTAACAGTCATATTAAGTTAACTGCATAAAAATCTAAGCGTATGACTTAGGCACTGTGGTATATTGTACTTCCATTTTAGTCTGTTTATTAGAAATGTCACACAATAAAAGAGTATAATTTATTGGATTTCTGTTACATGTATTAAGCATGAATTTGACAAACAAAATTCGGTTATCAGTCTCTCCCTCCACCCAACTAAATTACTTTTCGATACTGTCGCCCGATCCCACTCCATTGTGTGACTGCTTGCAACTGCTCACAGAGTTATGAAACAGCTTTTTTCTAAATTTCTAATTTCATTAGGATCGACTGATCTTGATTTAGCTAAGTTTTTGCTCTTCGTTATTCTAATTGACCCCAATGATAATTCTGACCTACAAATCTAACCTTGCAGTCATTGCAAAGGATTTGGCAAACTATATTATTTTGCCTAATTCCATCCATAGGATCTCTAAACCTAAGAAGCTTGCTTCTAAGACAGCTTTCGGGTTTGAGCACCGCTTTAATCCGAAGCTTACTGAAAGTTATTTGTAGCGCTTTTAATGTACCTTACTCGTATGGTAACACAGCAGGGGCTTTGAATTCTCTTTCAACCCTGTCACCATTATGACCACCATTATTGCTATTTTTGGGAAAAATTATTTATGTTAGCACTTGTGTTACTACTTCTTTCCTTTCGATTTCTTATAAATTTGGATAGGTTATTATTAAAATGCGTGGTATTCTAGATGTTTCTAGTTTTTCCTCAATTTTTCGTCGTGCTTGTAAGCTTTCTTCTCATATTACTTAAGCATTTAACTGGGTCCACTTTAACTAAGATGACATAAGATGATCTGAAGTCGAAGTAGTAATTTGAATGGGAAGGTTTCCTATTGACACTATTCTCCTAACTTCCATCTGCATGTCGCTCATTCTTGCAGTTCAATATTTTTAGGTTACAGTAAATTGGATTACATTCACCACTAAATTTATGTGTCAAGAACCTATTGATTTGTTTTGATTTCAGTACTGTAAATGTGTCTTTTATTTATCAAAGCCAAATCTTTGGAGTTGGACTAAATGTTTGATTGGTCATTCATTCCCAACTACCCATAGATGTCTGCGACAACCGAGCATATTGGTGATCCCATGGCAACCTCAAACATTTGTTTATATGCTACCGTCTAACTGTGTATATTTCTAGCTGACGGACTAAAATGGAAGTAGCAGATTGACACTGAGACAAGAGCTATATGGTTCTTATTCTCTCTTGTTCTTTGTGATATGGACAGTGAATTTTTCATATGTAGGGAATATGTTCTGATTCATTTATGTTGCACTTTTAGATTCGGTAAAAATGATCTATTCACCAATCGTTTACTCCACTCCACCCAGTCGTCACTTTGTTTCCTTCTACTGTGTGATTGTAACTGCGTGAGTAGTAACAAATGGATTTTACTGCAGATGCTTTTTGTTCCTGAGATCTACCAACTGCGACTAATTTTTAGAGCTCCAATAAGTGAAACCGTTTTCAGTATATGATACATCTAGTGAAATAACCAAAATGAAATTAAGATTGCTTAGACAATTCCGCAAAATCATCCCTAGTCTTTTAAGTACCTTCTTTTTCAACAGTTTTGTTGTTTAAATATAATTTTGTGATGAAATGAAGTAAACAAATGTGTTTGGCAGATTCGGACACCAGTTTCCTGAGTAAATGATGCATTTTCCAAATCGGATCTCAGCATGCTGTGAAATTTTAGTTGTATTTCTCATCAGGTATTAGAATAACGTTTGTCATTGCCAATTAAGATAAAATTATCGATGTAGTGTGGCAGCCGTTGTTCGAATAATAAACGATGACAATATCTACCCGCAGTATTTAGGATGTGTGTAATGGTGTATATGAGGATTAGCATAAAGTAACACTTTTCAACCATATTGAAGAATATATTCCATGTATATCTTTTTATTAGGTGGAACGTACTTCAAATGAAGTGCATTACTCAAGAACAGCCAGTGTTTATGAATCATATCTATTCTTGAGAAGTTTGCTGACTGATATGTTTGTAACGTCCAGTTGAAATCGCACGCAATCTAAAGTATGAATTATAGGCATAAACATTATAAAATATGCAAGATAAAATAACCTTTATAAGTCTTGACATATGTTTATAAAACGATAACATTTACAAAATAGCAGTAATACTCATTTGTAATCAGTACAATGGTCTTGCATGAGTCAGGTTAACGGCTTTAAAACAAGACAAAAGCACTACAAACGATGACCAACAATCACACTGTATTTAGCTTTACCAAAATACTGCACTTACTAACAGTTTCCTAATTTGTGTTTTGATCAACGATAAAGCCATTTTCCGAAAGTAGATGAAGTTATACGAATGGTATATTCTTAAGTCTTACAAATACAAAATTATGTAGACCTACTTTTATTTATCTTTTCAGAATGTCAGTGGTGATATACGCCTAGATAGCACGTTGGCAATTTACTCAAAAAAAGATTTAGACGATTCACAGACGCTAAGTAACTCAGGGAATAAAATCATTTCTGAATGTGGTATCAACACTCTTAATTACAGAAGCTTATCGCCAACATATATCGTACGGGACTGCGACCATGTTAATTTTCTTCAGTCCAGTGATGCATATACGGATACAATTATGTCTAGTAAGTCAACATTTATTTACTCTACTCGATTTTTACGTGATATGCTCCAGCTGTAATGAAAATGTCAATTAAACTTTTGTCTAAGATTGTCACCGTAATATTTATCTTGATAAACTATCACGTTAAAAGTACTTCAGCAAAGACTAGATATCGGAAGTAAGGGTAGTCATCTATGTGTTACAAACAGTAGACTACACATGAACTTGAACATACCCAAGGCACTAAACCGCATTCTTTTCAGAGGAGTGGGATAATTTACGTAAAATACTTAATGCAACATTTCACTTTTTAGAAGACTTTTTAGGGAGTATTTGTAGGCCTAATTCCATCCTTCGGAAATAATTACCACAGCATATCATTGAGAACAATATATGTAGAAAAGCATACCTTCAAAAATTAACAGTTCAGTTCCAAGGACATTACCACTGAGTACACAATTCAGGCAGGATTGCATGGTGAGTATTCCAGGAATCCATTCAAGGAAATTCACTCAAAAGAAGCCGTATATAGGTTTCTTCGAAATTATATATCACGAATGAATCAAAGGAATCAAACTCAATGGCTGAATGATGAAATCCTGCCGGCGTTAATTAATACTTCTTGGCTCCAATTATTACAGAGTAGTGGATGTACAGCGTTAAAGAATCCTAAACTGGTATAAAGTAGTTTTCTTATGCTTTCAAGTTCTCAATGACTCTCCAACTAATACCATTTGGCCATGAGGATAACATTTAAAGATGAAGTTCATCAATATATAAGAACCATCTGACCATCTGACAGTTTCACATAGTGAGACAATCAATACATTCATATTACCACAATTCGTGACATAATACACTGGAGTATACACAGACATCTCCTACCTTTTTCGAAATATAATCCTGTATAATATCTCAAAACATTTATTTGAAAAGAATTCTGCAGTATATATTTAAATTAAATAACATAGTATAAGTTAGAACAAACTGATACAAAGTAAGGTGTTTTACGACGAAAGAGACTAATGATTATTATCCTAAGTAAAGTCAGAATACTCGAAAATGACATCAATTAAACTAGTGATTTGTTGACTGTGATGTCACTCAACCCTTTCTATAGACAAATGAAGATTACTCAGTTAACGATGACTGAGGAGCCCTAAATATGGCGAAACGCGCTTCTTAGACTCCACTGCAAGCCATTACCCATTATTGTTGTCAGGATCTAATTAAGAAAACTTTAAACTCAACTTGTAAGTTTCTTTCTGCAAAAACTTTCTGACCCAGTCTATTCCAAGCTATAGTTATTGACACAACTTTTCTTATGGGTAATAGTTTTGAGACGTATTTGGGATCCGTCATTCACAGCTCAATTGATAAAGAACTGTGCTGTTCACTCAGAAACTAATGGTTGTAATTATTTCGCTAGTTAGCTGCAAATTCATTATAAGCTAAGCTGAATTTTTTCCCATGGTATACGTTAGTTTGAAGACTGTGTGTAGTATAATCAGTCCTGATCATAATGATGTCCACACTGCTGCTTAAGCGGCAATTGCATAAATTTATTTAAATCTGTTTAAGCAAATATAAATACTTGAGTTCAAAAACGTCATCTGTGAACGTTTGCATATTGCACTGCAAAATGGACTGCGTATCTCATTGTCAACAGTATGAATAGCTGAAGTGCAATCGTTTATTTTTGACATTTTCAAACCCCTCGAAACTTTATCAACAATGTTTAGTAATCCATTTTTTATGCAGTCACGACTACTTCATAAAAAGTAGTAAATTTTATCTCATTTTAGTTCCTCATTGGACAATGGACTGTTCAAATTACACTCCATTATCAGTTAATCAGATGAACTCAGTGGTAAATTCATGTTTGACGTCAACAATTTCACAAAATGATTCAAATAAACAATTTATCAGTAATAACAATCAACGACTACTGAAGAATTCAACGTTTTTTAAGTCCCCTGAATCTTTATACGAAGATCAGTCAACTCCAATATTAATCAATCAACTAGAATTTTGTAAGACATTAAATCATCCAACAAAGTACAATTTACTCACAGATAATCAAGTGGAGGCCTTAAATATTGTCACAAATAATGACAATATTGGCAGTAATAATAACTGTAACACTGTAAGTAAAACATTCCAGAAAAATACATCTGTAGTTATTGATTCTGCTCACAAGAATAATAAGTCAACAGTGGTTTCCCCTGAGACCTGTAAGCATACCAGCAATAAAAATGCTCACAACTATAATGAACTGAGTCCAGCCAGTCCATTATCAGCTGAAAATAATAGCGAAGTGATGTACTCCAAAATGCAAAGACCTAAATATAAGTTATTCAGCGGAAAAGCATTAGAAACACTGAACAGTAAAAAGAACAGTAGTAATGATCTTATTTTTCGCTGTTCGGTAACTACAGATTCAGATCAAACCTCAGAAAATAAATCAAACGACCTACCTCAGTTAACATCTTCCTTTGTGTAGATGAGCAACACTAAAACATCATAGTGAGAGCGATAATAGGCTTCTGCTAACGTTTGGTTGGAGTTATAAGATTATCGATAGTTCGTGTTTATTTTGCCCTTAGTCAAGACGAATATGTAAATATAAGTAGTGGTCATCTTGGTGCTTTTTTGTCTGAAATCAGTTCTTCGTTAAATATACATTTCATTTTATTTTTCAACTTCTCGATCGAAGAACTCTGTACAAAAATAAAAGTGTATGAATCCTGTTTTGTTGAGTTAAATATGGAGGTTGAAATAAACGTTTTTAGAATTACTTATGTGACTAGTTCTCTAATATGATCTTAGCAAAACGTTTTGCCTACTCTTTCAGCAATAAGCGAAGGTTGTAAATGTAGAGCAACGGTCTATTGATACATCTTCCGTGGATAGATACGTGATACTGCTAACTGCAGTTACCCGAACAAATCTTATAAAAACGTGTGCAGCCATGATTCAGCAACGCCTAAACTGTCATTCTGAATTTCTTACCACTTCTTACTATTACTTTCACAGTTATATCTAATTACACCCTCAATCTGTACAACGAAACTTTTTAGTCTAAATATATCTTCAAATCTTCAAACTAGCGTATTATTTTAAACTGAGCATAGCTGGCGTTTTTTGGCGCCCATACATCTGATATTTACAAACATCTTGTACGAAAGGAATTTTACCGAAGATTATTATGCACACGCTCAATCAAAACGTCCCACTTTTTAACATAAAATATTTTCACAATACTTTCTGTCAGTTAAGTAATTTATCGTACTGATATCCTGTTAATGACAGATTGCTAATATGGTTAGTGCTTAGAATTAAAAGACATGAAGTTGGTTACTCTTCAGCTGATTTATCTAATCCTATTCTACTGCAGAGCAATCACAATCGTACCGTAACTCAGTAGCCCGGGAGATAGGGCTCCGACGTTTGAATCGAGGGGTGCTGATTTCTAGTCCCACTGCTCACTGGAAGGCAGGTATATTCAGCTAAAGTTTTTCGAAAAAGAGGGAACATAAGTCTTGGATTTCTCTGATAGCTGCTTTGTATCAAAAGTGTATATGTATTTAGCCTGACTAAATTTGTTACTCTGGATTTTCAGTATGATGAGTATTCTTCGTATTATCAAGAGATTAACGTAGAGATTAATGCGCCCAAAGTGAAGAATGTTAATATTTCCCACATTGACTATTTACCTGAGATAGTTTCCGACTGATGAGAATCCCATAAAATGAAATGACATGCTTTTATCCTTCCCAAAGTGTTTTCATTACATTGAAGGATAAAAGTGGCTTCTTCAACGAAGACTATTTACTATTTCTTAAATACATAACTGATTATTCGCTTTGACAACGTGCTGTTTGTGAGAGGTGAAGGTCCCATATCCGACCTCTAGGGATGGGAAGTCATGGGTTTGCACTTTTGACTAGTCCCTAATTAGGAAGAAACAACTTTTCGGTGCCTCCCGGATTTCAAATGTTCCCTAAGTGACGTCAGTCAGGGCTGAATACTGCTTTGAAATAAATCTTTTGTAATACATTTCAGGGCCCATTATTATTCACGACGGTGCTTTTATAAAATTTCATCGTAAACCAAAAGGATGATAGACTGAAGACTGTTTAAAAATGCATGGCAATAGATAATATGATTTAAGAATAAAGCTGAACTTTGAAATGTGGACAAAACGAGGAATCTGATGCAATGGTACTGGATAAAAATTTATAGTAACCGAATTTCCAACGACACCGACGTAGTGTGGTGGATAATTCAAAACCTTTAGGAAGATGAGAGGCATATGAAACTACAATTAAGACAAACAGGTGAAATACGGAGCATAATTTATTCATAATAATTGATAACAATGATAATAACCACTTTATGTTAAAAAATATTCGTGATATGATATAGAGTTCTGAGGATGTCATTCTTGAAAGCATTTGCTTTTCAAGTGGAATATCTGTAACGCTCTAATAATGCTGACAATAACAGTAGTAAAATTAATAAGGCATAACAAGCAAATATTGTTGTCATTTCCCTATGAATGCGTTGTTACGTAGTAGAGAAGCAAATATGATAGGATGTTGTAGCCTAATACCAGAAGTTCATTCAGCTGGCAAACAATATGCCATTCGAGTTGGTTATTTCAAAATCAGGTAGATGATGTATTGCAATACGCTTCCTTTCAAACTCACGTTTACGATAATCTTTTTGAAAAGTGTTAATGGTATTTTATAAATGGAAATTCTGAATGCAACTTAAAAGGGTATAAGAGTAAAGACAACTGTTTGGAGATATTTATGGATGATCAAATAAAGTTCAAACAGAGTAATCTGATGAAATATATTTTGCGGTAAATTGTCGAGAGCTTTAAGCTTAATCGGGTCTCTAGGGACGTAGTATCCTACGGTGAGTAAGAAAAAGGATGCTATAATACAGCAGTGGATAGAAGCTACTGCCTTTGTAAGCTTTATTTGTATGATTGCTTGTTTGCTTGACTGACTACCAAAATATCCCTCTTACTGTTTAAGCTTTAGATTATTTATTCATTTGTTTAGGGTGCTATCTCTTTTCATATTCCAATTTCAATATTAATTTGATTAAACTGACTACAATGACTGCTAAAAAGTGGTTATTTGATAAAATATATTAGCCGGCACAACTAATAGATTTTAATATTCTCAGTCAAATATGAACGCACTCATCACCCTATGTTCTAAAGGTGTTAACTGTAAATTAATTTATGTATGAAAATAAAAGGTCAAATTAATTTTCTGGAGAGAGATGAACACGGATGTGATACAGAAACATTGTTTCAATATTAATTTTGCATATTCCTATCACTTACCCAGGTTTCAGAAGTAAATGGCTTTGGAAAACGCTGATGATTCTTAAGGCCAATAGATTATCAATTGATGTAGTCAAACAAATAATGGCATAACTAATAATATATTCACCATTCCACCGAAATAATGAGAACTGAACGTCTAATCACAGAACTGGTTGACATATCATGTTATATCTAGTTAAGAAAATAACATTTCTACTCTGTACACACATTCAGTAAAAGCGGATAACAAATAGTTGATAAAAAATGAAAGCAGAATTTAATAAAGAAATGGTTGTTTTTCAGATGACATCATCTAATAGTTAGGCACTGTTTTCATGGTTGATAGCAATGATTTGTGCAAACAGTAATTCAACATCGCAATACAGTAGGTGAAGGCATATGGAAAACAGGTAAGCAATAATGTGTATTGAAATAAGTGAACAACAAGGTTTTAAATGGCTCGCATGCGAGTAATGGTTTTCTTCTTACAGAGAAGAATGAATACCGGCAATTTTCAAATTTAGTTAAGAAAAAGCCAAAAGGTTACTGGATAATGTCAACTGAAGCAGAGTTTTGATTCACATGAGCTATTACATCCATATCCCTGCTATCTGCAAGTAGACTACAACAGTAGGAATAAACTTAGCAGCATATACAGAGTTTGGATGGCTTCTCTTCAGATTCATACCGGCTGTTTTTATTTCCTCAATGAATCTAGATAGACTAATGTTGCAAGACGAAACATGATTGTTCAGGAGATCTGTTTTTATTTTACACTCTAAGATTATACAGCTGAAATTAACTACGAAAATCTTTATTAGAATCAACAAACTTTGACTGTTCAAGTTTTCATTTGTAGCGATTGCTTCAATTTGTAGAGAACAACTGAAAATCTCAGCAGCATAATTTCATTGCAACCGTCTGACGTTCTTTTAACGGTTGAAGACGATTTCCAATAAGCTGTGACACTAACTTTCGTCTTTGTTAACACCACCAACTTGTACTTGGAATATTGAGGGTCTTAACTCCTTGCAGTGCTGGAGATTAACTGATTCCGTTTTTATAAATGACAGTTCAGCGAAGAAATTCTTCCTTCCGATGAGTTATTTTCAAATGCTGAACATCTTAATCATAGTTAGAAATATATATATATATATATGTATATATCAGTAGCTAGTGGGTCAATGCAAATTCATCAGAAACGGTCAATAAAGTCACAGGGTAATAACGGCTAGAAGGTCAAATAGAGGATTATAGTAAACAAACACAGAAATGAATAAACTTTCTTGGGGAGATTACGAACAAACAGCACTTTTGTAACGCTGGATTGCCAAAAATTCTGCTTGGTTGAGTTGGTGGATAAGTATGCGCCTAGAAATGTTTCCTTTCACTGTATAAATCACTTCGAAAGAAGATTCTTGTACAGCACAATGACCAGAGATAACCAAATGCCCGAGAATCGAGCTGTTGATGGCTTCGTACTGTCGTTTAGACGGCTGGACAGGATAGTGTTTGGAGATACGTTTGGACAGAACATGCTTTGTGCGGCATATGTAAGCAGCTCCACAAGAGCAAGTGAATTGGTACACACACATGGAAGTGGCCCAAAAGTGATAGTTTGTCATTTGTGCATCTTCTAATCAGTTATTGACTGGAGAAAACATTCCAAAGCTGACAGTGAAAAAAGGTCTTCTTCAGTGCTTTTCGTAGTCACTGTTTCAGTATCTCTGCCAATTAATCTGTTTTGAATCCAGTATTCATAAACAACGACTTCTTTGAAATTCCTATGTTTCATGTTCCTCCCAATGAATCTTGAAGGATGACCATTATAGATCAACATGCTTCGAAGTATTTATAGTTCCTTCTTTATTGTATCATCAGTACGACTCCTTCTAATTCGTGTGTAGACCTAATTCTACTACCCCAAGCCTTCTTGCCAGTTGCTTCAAACTATCTAAAATGAATCAAAGTATATCTTGATACTGAATCTCCTGAATCTTTCTAACGATCAATCAGTGTTCGCTTGATGTATTCTTTCTGAAACACAACGAATAAGATCATCAATTTGATTGCAAACAACAAGAAACCTTTAAAGATATTCTAAGCTTCAACGTCATATTAATAGGATTAAAGTGAACAATCCTGCAAATACGCTGACCAAAGTTAATAATAATTTAATCAATCAAACAAAAAACTAACACTCAACATAGAGTAGCTTGTGAAACAGCATCCTTAAGGTGCATCAGTAATTTTCGCACCATAAGACCAAAGTCAAGTCAAACTTCATGAAATGAAGCTTTATGAAACGTCACTGAAAAACGTAAAATTTGTTTTCACGCCTGAGGCAATTTAGCTGAATTCATGAAAAGAATCAAATTAAAAGTTATTGTTAAGCAATGAGTGATAAATTACATTTGCACCGTTATTAAGTTGCTTATTAAGGCTTCTTGATAGGTAACCAAACTAATAAATTGGTTGAATAAAACATATATATATATATATATAATGAACCAATTGGTTCAAATCATGGCATAATGAAAACAGAATGAGTGACAATAAACAAGACTGTTTGCTTCCACGAATGTCTCAGAGATTCCTGTCGAACTTTATATATATATATATATATATATATATATATATATATGTATATTTGTTCATGATATCAGTTTTCTAGCACGTAGGGTTGTGAAATACAACCATGTTTGTGGCAGTACAAGCTGCTAAGCTTCTATTTGTACAAACGAACCCGTGCAGAAT